AGTCACAGTGTGAAGATGCCTTCCAGGAGGTGATCTGGCGGTTGACTCAGGCACCTGTGCTGGCATGTGCTGACCCCAACCGCCCTTTTATTTTGCACACGGATGCTAGCCTGTCAGGACTGGGGGCTGTACTGTACCAGGAACATGATGGACACCGGCAACCAGTGGCTTTTGCCAGCAGGGGATTGTCACCCAGCGAGACGTGGTACCCGGTACATAAGCTTGATTTCCTGGCCCTGAAGTGGGCCGTCACTGAGAAATTCCGGGACTATCTCTATGGAACCAACTTCCAGGTGAGGACAGACAATAATCCCCTTACCTATGTGCTCACCAGTGCTAAGTTGGATGCGACTGGCCAACGTTGGATTGCGGCACTAGCCAACTACACCTTCAGCCTGCACTATCGAGGGGGGTGTCAGCGAGACAAAAGAATGTGGATGCTGATGCCCTGTCTTGACAACTCCCCCACAACCCTGGGAGTGTTTGGAGCCCTGAGACAGTGAAGACCATTTGCAACCTGCAGCTACAAGACCCTATGGGGATGAGGGAAAGTACTGTTTGCATAGCTGAGGTGTTGGGGTTGCCCCCTGAGGGGATCACACAGGCCTGGGTTCAGTACACCACGCTGACTCCCTCCTCATTGCCCCAGGTCACGGCCATGGAATGGCAGACAGCGCAAAAACAGGACCCAGATGTGCGAGAGGTGCTGTGTGTCTGGAGATCAGGGAATACCCACCCCGTGACCCTTAATAATGCTACCCCAGCAGCCCACCTCCTGTTGAGGGAGTGGGAAAGGCTTCACTGTTTGATGGAGTGCTACATCGGGAGGTGTAGGACCCAGAAGGATGGAAATATTGGCAGCTGGTCCTCCCTCAGAAGTATAAGGCCCTTGCATTACGGGCCTTGCATGATGACTTTGGGCACATGGGGGTGGAATGCATCCTGGTGCTAGCCCATGAGAGGTTCTTTTGGCCCCAAATGGCTGAAGACGTAAGGACTAAATGTTCAAACTGTGATCGGTGTGTGCGGAGGAAGACCCTGCCCGCTTGAACTGCCTAGCTACACACCATCCAGAGCTCAAAACCCATGGAGCTCGTGTGCATGGATTTCCTAGCCATAGAAGGGGAGGGGCACCAAAAGGGGAATGTGCTGGTTGTGACAGACCACTTCACCTGATATGCCCAGGCCTTCCCTACGCGAGATCAAACAGCAAGAACGGTTGCCAAAATACTGTGGGAAAAGTACTTCTGGGGTGACTTGGGGTGAGTGAAGTAACAGGGAGAAATTCTTGTTGCAGTGGAAAGGGGCCATTGTGTTTTCTCCCCCTCCAGGTACCTAAGCCCTATATTTCTTGTTATTTGACATTTTGTGCCTTTTATATTTCCCCAACCAGTATTGTTTGTTCTGCTATTTGTGTTTTATATTTTGGTTAACCCTGTCTTTTGTCAACTGGATGAATATGTCTAAGATTTTAAGTGTCTAACCTTTGTTGAATCCTGCCCCCTTGGGGCATTGTAGTGTCCCCTATACCCCCTGGTTTATACTGGTTATGTTCCCAGTACTGTTCTCTCATTAAAAGGTATATGGTTAAGTCCCCATTGGTGGTCTGGTTCTGCTCTATAGGGGAAGGAGAGTCCCTACACCTCCCACAGTGTTTGTGCACCTGCTTTGATCCCTTCAATGGGAGAGGGGGTACCTCTTGGAGTACTGCCTGGGTTACAGATGTCTTCATCAGTGACCTGGAAGATGGCATAGAGAGTGCCCTCAGCAAGTTTCCAGATGATACCAAGCTGGGGGGAGTAGTAGATACACTAGAGAATATGGCTAGGATTCAGAGTGACCTAGACAAATTGGAGGACTGGACCAAAAGGAATCTCATGAAGTTCAATAAGGACAAGTGCAAAGTCCTGCATTTAGGACAGAACTATCCCATGCACCAGGACAGGCCAGGGGCTGACTGGCTGGGCAGCAGCTCTGCAAAAAAGGACCTGGAGGTTACAGTGGGAAATAATCTGAATATGAGCCAGCAGTGTGCCCTTGCTGCCAAGAAAGCTAATGGCATCCTGGGCTGCATTTGTAGGTGTGTTGCCACTAGGTCAAATGAAGTTATTATTTCCCTCTATTCAGCACTGGTAAGGCCACATCTAGAGTTCTGTGTTCAGCTTTGGGCCCCTCCTACAGAAAGGATGTGGGGAAATTGGAGAGAGTTCAGCAGAGGGTGACAAAAATGGTGAGGGGGATGGGGACATGACTTATGAGAAGAGGCTGAGGAAACTCGGCTTATTTTTCCTGCTCAGGGCAGGGGGTTGGACTATATGAACTGTTGAGGTTGATGACTCTGAAACTCATGCTAAGCTTGGGCCTACTCACAAAAGTTAAAATACAGGATAATAATGCTAACTGCATATTGCAAGAGGATTCAAGTTCATGGCTAAGCCATCTGAGAAGGAATAATGAAGTATCTCTTCCAGCTTATCTTGCTATATTCAGGATGATTTCAGGCAGGCTCTTAGTTGTCTGGTGTGTAACCATATGAAATGTCTATCCTTGATTAATTAGTATGGTAAATATTTCTTTTGCGACTAACTCGTGTTTACGTGCAGGAAGAGACATTCTCCATATGTAATAGATGTCTCCTCCTGATTTAGTATGTTTTTCCTGGCTGTTAATCACTTTCTTGATATGTTTCAAACTGGATAACCTCTTGTTACCGAAGAAGGTAACTCGTTCAAATTAAAAATTTCTGACAACCAGTAATAAGCAGGTTTTTCCTGTCAATTACTGCTTGGGACTCTCTCTTGATTTACACAACTAAAACAACACTTTGAAGATGCTAAACTAAGGGTATAAAAAGGCAGTAAAACAGTGCACGCGCTTCAAGAGTGAGAAATCACTCTGACACCAGTTGCTGCTGCGCCCGACTTACTCGAGAAGTTGAAGAGAAACAGACCGCCTCTACGTCACCTGTTTGGTGAGAAATCATCACCTTATAGCTAATTACTGGACTTTGATTTGGTTTGGGTTCACTTGACTTGATTTTAAATACTTGTAGTAAATAATGCCTTTCTGTCACTCAAACGAAGTGTCGTGTCAATCCCTGGGCTAGTCCAGAATCCTAGGTTTTTATTTGCTAACAATGATCTCGTTGGGGATGGTGCTGCTTTGAGCAGGGGGTTGGACTAGATGACCTTCAGAGGCCCCTTCCAACCCTCATTTTCTATGATTCTATGATTCTTTTTTTGCCAGAGCCCGAAAGTGTGCAGCCTGCTTCTAGCCACATGGGTACAGGGGAGTTAGGGGCACAGCCGCTGAATCAGAACTTCCTAGACCCTCAATGCTGGAGGCTGCAAGTGGACCAGGAACAGTGGGGAAAAAAGCCCTATTCTTACCCTGATCATCATCCCTTTCAGCATCCACATTCAGCTGTTTGTCACAGGAGACTGGTCAAGATAGAACTAGGGTCTGACCCAGGAAATGGCAGCTCTTATGTAGGCATGATGTGCCATGCAGAGGGTTGTATAGTAGGGGCCTAATTCCAATTTCATGTGCACTGGTAAATTTGGAGTAAGGCCACTGAAGTCTTTAGCTAGTGTAAATATGACCATATTTATAAAATGCTCCCCTACAACATCTGCATACACAAAAATGCACGCTCACATGAACACCTTATGTATTCAGTCACTTATTTTCACATGCATTTAATCAAACCCCCATGGTTACTGAGGTAAATCCATCCACGTACCTTCGACTGAAATAGAAACCCCCTCCCTGCCCCTCCGTCCCTGCAGCCTGCATGCTCCAGTGCATACGAGTTACGAATTTGCATATGTTCCATTACAAAACAGTTTATAACTTTCTTTTTCTCTCATCTTTTTAAAACATCAGGAACAACATCTCTAATCATGCAGGAGGCAGAACGCTAAGTTAAGAACAGCAAAGAGTCAAGAAATAGAGAGGGGTAAATGCAAAACAAGGGAGGAACTTCAGTTCTATTTGAAGTCAGTGGAGCTATGCAAAATGTTTGCTGGGGATTTGGTTCATTGATTCCAACAGAGTTACAGTGATTTACATCAGCTTAGGGATGTGGCTCTATGTCAGATAGAATATTGCTCCTTTGATGAGCAGTTGTGAAGTTGGCATGGCTATCCTGATGCCAGCTTGGTATTCGTGAGGGTAGTACTTGAGCCCTAGATACCAGAATGCCACTGCCCATCAGATTTAGCTACAAAAATCTCAAGTGTAAAGGGGGAAAAAGATCAATTGTTTCCTTGGCTCAACAATTCTAGCTTCTGCTGGCTTCAATGAGAGCTGAACATCTAGGTCTAAGGACAGAACCAGGTCCTGAAAGATGGAGAGAGACGATTTGGGGAAATTGATACAACAGTAGGATCTGGAAGCCCCAGTTGAATTCAGGGCTCCACTGTGCTAGAGGGAGGGAAAGTGGGGAAACAGTTCCTGCTCTCAGAAGCTTTCCTTCCAAATGGAGAGGATGGAGGAAGTTAGAGTTATCCCCATTTTTGTAGATGACGAAAATGAAGCCAGAGTAAATGATTTTTTTCCCGTAGTCCTGTAAGGAGATGATAACAGAGCTGGGAAATGAATCAGATCATCTCCATCTTGGGCACTGCACCACTGGCAAAGTGAGAAATGCAGGCCCATTGTAACTTCTTGACAACAGTCAACATTGTGACTCCCCAGGTTAAGAAACCCTTGCCTTACAGAAACAAGAGTTCTTTCCGGCTGTAGGGGAAAAATAAGGCACAGGCTCACAGGACTAGCTTTGATTCTGGAGTAGCATCATACTGAAGGAAACAGAATTACCACCGAGATGAATTTATACCATAAAAGCTATGGTGTCTCTATGAACATTGGGGAAAATAGATTTTAACAGTCTGAATTAAAATCAGATCGCAAGCCAACAGTTACATGCATCTCACTAGAGTCTGAGACCAGAATCTTAACTGCAAAAACGTTTTCCCTCAGACCAGTTTCTCCCTTACCTCTTCTCTTGCTTGGCTGGTGCACTGTGTGGGCCTCCCAAACAGAATTTCCTTACTTGCTGTTGAAACCCTGTTGCTCTAAAGCTGGAGATATCTGTTTCTTTTCTTGGCACCAGCTCATTTTATAGCGTCAGGATCTGTTGTCACTGTCGCAGAGAACCTCAGTGCTCTGCTCCTAGAGAGTGGAAACTGCCAGGGAAAG